TATATATATATATATATATATATATATATATATATATATATATATATATATATATTAGGTAGATAGAAAGGTATATAGAGAGACAGACAGACAGGTAAATAGACAGATAGAGATTTTTATACTGCTACAAGTTAAACGGGGAAAAAAATGAAAAGACCGGTAAATTTGGAAGGACCACAATCTGCATGACCAAATTTTAACATCACTTTCAACAGGCGATTACAGTGTAATTTTAAAAGAATTTGGTTACCTTGACAAAATCACTGGCAACCATGTGACGGCTGTAAACGCATCAGATGAATTGCTTGTCATTCGTGCCAGTTCCCGAACACCACCACATTTACATAGCGGTCCAACGGGATTTACCTTCCATAATATTAGTTCAGCCTTTCCCGATTCTTCAGTGCCTCGCTTTATGTAATTATAATGACTTGTTGTAAGCACAAGAGGAAGCACCGGATGAGCAATGACCTAAACAGTAAACCAAGTACGGCAATGGAAACAGAAAACGCAAGTGGCCAGGCAAAACAAGGTTCTATAGTACAACTATTAAGACTGTATAATCTTTAATGTCATACTAATAGTGTTGCATAGACCCACCATATAGAAAAATAGAGTCCCACCAAGACTGTTTATTCTGAGTTACATATTCTCATTTCAGGCTACCACATCTCATAACATACAACGCATTCCGTGAGAGCAGTCTCGAGTAAATGCACCTCTTCTACTGTACACCAGTAAGCAAAAAACAATCACCAATCAACACTGCCCGGGCGATCGAACGAGTTAGAAATGAGTTCCACCAATCGGATAATTGAAATTAAAACTCGAAAAAAAAGCTGTGTATAATATTAGCTATGTATACTGGAATCTCAGCTATGTGAAAACCCTTGCAATACTGTGGTACGAACCTGCGAAATTTTGTAACGATGACCACACATTCTTGACGCGTGCAATATATTAACAACCGTATTAAATTTGCTATTATCTTCAAATGTCAAATTCCACAAATTTAAAGATCCGTTGTTATGATGAGTCAGTAAATAGAGCAAATTTGTATTTCGCCGTTCGAATATTTGGGAAACCTCTTAAAAACCATATAAGGGTTAACTACATGAAGGAGGCAAATACAAATAACATGAACATGTTTTCATAGAAAAATCAGCTAGCAGAAAGCCTACCTTCAGAACCATACTTCTCGTTAAATTGTTCATAAAGAAAATCGTGAGGATAATACACACTCAACGAAGGATTCAACGACGTTGCATCTGACAGTGAAAACGCAGATGGGAATCGTGAAGTGAAACTAACGGTGGGTTGTCGTAACGGATCATCAAGCCATTCGACTGTCCTGAAAAACGCAGCAGTTTTCATTCAATTCTTCGGAGAAACTGATCCTCATTTTTTCGTAGAAAGACAGAGAGTTGTTACAAAAAGATTAAAGAAGCAAGTAAGAGAATTTTGAACCTAATTTAAAAAGTAAGTAAAATGTTTACAATTTAGTTTTATATCAACTATGAAAACAACAATATTTTCACCAGGTTAGTAGGCTACCGTCAGCAGGATGTACAGCAAATAAAATGTCAGTAGACTTCGTCCATTCTCGTATAAGGATATTTAGTTTTAAATCCATAGAATCTTTCGATGATGTTTCCTAAAAGTAAAAAAAGATCCTAATTATTCAAGACCTACGTTTTCCTAAATTAAAAAGTATTAAAACATAAGCATTCACCCACATTAGATAAGGCACCGGTTGCATCACTGGAATTACTGACAAGTGTCCCGTCTAAGACCTCAACTTCTTGTCCCGTACAGCAAGCTGATGCCACCTTGGTATCGTTAATATTATGTCCTTTGATAACATGTAGAGACTCAGTCAATAAATTTTGCGACTGCAGCACATTTTCTAAAAAGTAAATTTTTACGTTGTGTAGACTAACAGGCCCTAATCAATAAAGAAACAAAGGAGTACTTTTGAATGAATTTCCAATTTTACTTGGTTTTGTAGAATAATCACTGATCAGAGCTCCCATCATAATTCTTTCAATGCCAGTGTCATAAACAATTCTTTTATTGTTCAACCAGTGAATCATGAAAGGTTTTTGTTCGGCAGAAGTTTCGAGGAACGGAACCAGAAGACAATCTATAATACATAATATTCGAAAAATGTATCGAAAAAAAAATGTTTGAAAATATTCGAAAATTGCAGCAGTATCGCTCATGAATTAACACTCCATATTAGCGGACAATATTCTGAAACAAAAACACACCGTTCTGAGCATTTATAGTGGTGCATAAATAAAATGCAGGACTAGAGTCGGTATACTTCCCTGAAGCAATCTCACATAATGAAGTATTTCTGGAAACAGATGATCGTGTTGGTCGCATTACTTCACCCGCAAGTGCCTTTCTCTCCCTAAAAACAGCGAATCTGAAGACTGGTGTTCAAAATTTTTTGTTTTTTAAATCTACTATTTCATATAGCAAAATAAACCTAGCCAATTCCAGAAAGCCTCAGCATCGCTTACAAGTTAAAGGAATTCAGATTATATTTTTCAACTCACATAATTTTCTTAAGAAAGGCTTTGATTTTTGTTCGAGGACCCCGAAGTGAATGTTTTTTGGAGCAACGTTCTTTTGTGGAACTTTTTTCGATACATATCACCTCCGCCATGTTAATCACAGTTTGGAAATCAAGAGATACAGTTGCAGTTTCCTTCCAAATCCGAACTGTGTTATCTTCACACCAAGTAAGCAAAACATTCTGAACATATTGTCTGCAATAATCATTGAAAATTAATAGTCTCATTTTACAGCAATGAAGATTAAAAAACTGACAAATGAAAATCAGCTGGAGAGTGATAAATAACCGTGACATGTAACGAGGAATTTTTCGCCATTCAAAACCAGCAACTGGTTGGGGGTGTTGTACATAGATAAAACCAAATGAAAGGCCATTTCCATTATTTCCTATATCGCCAGATCCTGAAACAGCTTTTTCCTTCTGAAATATAAGTTATTAACTGATTCCTATTTTAACCGTTAACCATGTTATATTACGATCACATGCAACTTCGCAGAACAAATAATTCCCGCAGAACAGAACAACCACTAAATTACAGGCATAAAAGTCATGAAGGGACCTTAAAAATACTGCGGCTAACACTTGGAATTGTAATAGCTTCCATCCACTTTTTTTTTAGAATTCAATTGTTGGGAACTCTGCAGTGAGAACACCATAGAACGTAAGAGTAGGAATTCAAGCACAAACAAAAAACACAGATCGACCAACATTTACCTTCTCTCTGAAACCATATCTTTACCATACAATCTGAAGTACCACAAGTAGCAAAATAAGCCCCGTCGGGTGAGCTAGCCATAAACTTTGGCTTTGTTGCTAATTTTTGTGACCAAACACAATCCCAAGACGAAACTCCTTCATTTTCAGGTTCATTTTCCTGAAAAAGACTACGTATTCGACAAATATATGTACATCCATAGCCTAAATTAAAACAGCATATGAATGACCTCTTCCACTATTCCGAATGTTACGGTATCCAGTTTAATATCCAGAGCAGCAGAAAGAAGCAAATTCTGATACAGGTGAAGCGCATCACCACAACATATCAACAGTCGCAAGCCTTGCAAACTCCACTGTATCTTATCCACTGTGCACATCAGGGGAAGACTATGTGTTTCAACCCAGTGGTACATGAAACCCTAAAAACATTGTTAAATCCATAATGAGAGGTAAAAGTTGAGGAATTAACGGGGTTTTGGAAGGAAAAACATGAAATTGAAAAAAGCGCCAAACAACTTCAAACTGGAACATAACAATGAAATTTACGTTAATCCCATCTTCGATTCGCGTAATGGGCTCATAAATGCGCACCACACCACTGTAAGTTGCTACAATCTACAATGCAACCATATAATTACATATGATATTGATGAACACAGCGAATGTGGCACTTACTACACAGCTGTTTATACACTGACTTGCTAACCTAATTCAGACAACTTATATCTTGACCAAATTCAACGAAGTTTTTGAGTAATGAAATCATAAAATCATATCTCAATAATCCAAATTCAAATACTTTTGAACAATATTTGATCAAAACTTTGGGCTAAGTGTCGAGAAAAGAAAAAGATGAGGAATAAAAACCTTTCCAGTTTCACAACAAGCAGCCACACATTTCACTAATAATCCTTCAGCACAACTTGCAGGCGTTATAACTTGTACACGCTCGAAGGAGGATGAAAATATCACAACATTCGTACCAACTGCGCAAGCCTGTTGATGGACAAGATACCAAAACATAGCATAACAAGTAAAACAAACATTTATGCTTAATTTGCAGAGAGCAAAATGCAACAAAAAAGCTGACAAACCGTAAAACTAAGATCATCGATCACTCCAACGCTGAAAACCTCATCACCACGGTTAAGCGCTCCAGTCAAAATCTGATGCACATTCATTCAAATAAGCATAATCACCCTGGAAGTGAGGATGAAGAGAACCATAGCGACTTAACTCATTCAAAGTAAAACTTCTTCCGAAGTGGTACATATCAAAATTGCGTTGAAACAAAACTTAGTAGTTCTACTAGTAGACTTCGCAGAAGTTGTAGGAAATGTTTCAATTACCTTGAAAAGCCTTGGCCAATCTAATGTGTACGAGTAATGTTTTTGTAACATGGTTCTTTTGATAATGTTGAAGTTTCAGCAGGAACTTCACCAGCTTACAGTGACATACTAAGAGAAGCAATGGCTTACAATTACAATGTTACACTGTAAAAATGCTTACGTTCTCTGTTGACAGGTGACAAGGCGAATAAGCTCAAAAGTTGGGTATGGTGGTTCTCAACAAACTGGAAAAAAAAGCATCTTTTACAGGGAACCGGAAAACGATTGAAAATGAATGGATATGAACAGGTATGTTTCCAGAAGTCTTGGAAATTCCTAGACGGAAATCATTATTTCCAGATACGAGCATTCAACAACCCGTGTTTACATCTTATCTCTTTTATTTCAATTCCCACACAAAAGGGATATTTTGAACCCTTCCATTCTTTTTATTTACTTCATAACTGTCTGACCCCTTCCTTTCTCCCTTAGCTTGCACACTCAGCATTTCCTGTACCCTTAGAAACAGCAAAGCTACTGTCAGCAAAACTAATTCATCTAGTTCTTGATAGTGTTGGTGACAACAGTTTTTAACGCAAGAAGTTTAGCGACATCGTTTCCACAAAGTGTAGTTGCACTGTGAGGCTTATCTTACAGGGGGTCATTCTGGACCTGATGCGTGGAACAAGCTGGATTGAAGGGTTCTTCGAGGCGATAGAGGGCATATGTTTATCGTCTCCAAAACTTGCCAGTGAGGTATCTGTCGGTAGTAAGACAGAAAGGATTGGGACAACAAGAATATTAGGTCAATTTATTGACCAGATAAAATGTTAAATAACTGATAAAAACATAAAGCGTGGTATATTTTGTTATTCATTATTTCATAACCTTCATTGTGTGGAAGGTATTTTTCAGATAAAGGTATTTTCATTCAAGATCAAAACAGAACATTGATAGTACCATTCAAAATTTCCGCCATCAGCAGGACTAGGTGATTATCTGATAAACAGCAATGTCGTTCAAGCTCATTTATATCACATCACACTGCACACTGATCTCTTAAAACCGTTACTAAGTAAAAGTGGCAAGTGAAGTGTTTTCCCGGGAAGAAAAGCGTTTCTTCCCCATAACTAATCGAAATAGTAGCCCCGTCTTCCACTGCTCCTTCGAGATTGACTCTGCTGCGGCTCACTCTTCCCGCCACATTTCTTCTTGTGTATGTCCACCTTTTACTCTCTCCCTCTCTCTCCCATCTTTTATTTCTTTCCAAATGATCTAGGAATAAACACTAGATTTTTATTTATACAAGTGCTTCACCAGTCCAAATTTTATCCTGTTACTTTTTAAACTGCTGCGCTGGTCTATCTGTTATTCCAAATTGATGAACATTGTCTGCAATTGTTCTGATAGCCACAGGATAATATCCATGGAATAACCTGGATTTTAATATCGACGTAGAACAAAAAAGTAAAATAATTTAGAGCGCGATTACAACTCAGTAAGATGGAAGGCATCGCAAAGAATACTTTGAGTAACCTATTGAAAATGCTTCACTTCAGTGATCAGAACCTTGTATATTATTTCAATCCCTACACCTTTCAAGATACTTCTGCTCTCCTCCATAATGGACAAGAACAATGCAAAACAATCATGTAATTGAGATGTTATAGTACTACGCTGCACTTATCCTCGAAATAGCAATCTACTGGAAGCAGCAAACTCTGTGGTATAGAACTTGAAACTTCTTACACAATTTTTATATACGACACGCTATGGTCAAATTTACCGAACTTTTCTCAGTGTTTAATTATTCATGCCTCACACGAAAAATTCTTTCACTGTGTACAGTTGTATTTTTGAATTCTGAATGAAACAATAAATTCCAGTGACAATGAATGAAAGAGAGCAAATGAAGCGACCTCGCAGTGAGGGTGTATCCAGAAACCTGAAACGAGCAACCCGACCAAGAAAAATGATAGTTACAAGGAGATTCTTGAGAAGGAAGTAAGCATTTTTCATTGTGAATCATTTTTATCTGTCAAAGAGTTTTTGATAAAACCAAAAAATATGTTGCAGTTTATGATTTTTTCAATTATTTCAAGTGCTGAAGCTATTTCGAGAACTTTGCCTTGCGTTTTGCAGAACGAGCATGACCATAGTTTGGAAGTAGAATTATAATAAACACAGCATTAAATATGTAAAAAACGTTGTAGAAACTAAGTGACCGCACTACGATGAGTCCACAGTAAGTTTCTGTCAAGCTCGTCTACATTCACCGTCACTCTTCCGATAATTGCCTTTGACTATTTTATAGTGAAGGGCTCAATAATATGCCTCGACAATACATTAACGCCCATTATACATGGCAGTAAATATGAAGAATTCAAACACACAATGTTGTGGGTCGGAATAATTTTTAATGAGACCTTTTGTGAGACCCGAGCTTTGCTGATGCTTCATTCCTTTGCGTGTGTGTCTTGCGAATTCTTTACTTGTAATATAGGCAGACAGGAAATCGTGCTCAACAAATAGTATGAAGTTGCTTGTTAAATGGGATATTAACTAGAACTTGTTGGCTTTATCTATGGAAATCTCAGTTTCTTTAGCTGTTTACCTTTGCTAAATGGTGCCGGACGAAAAAAAAAAAGACTTCTTGGCGTTTCGGCACCCGGGTCACAGCGTGCTAAAGCATAAAGTGAGGTGTAGCACTTCGTATTATCCATTTCTTATTATTCGGTAAGAAACATTGCTGGAACTCAGCTTTAGACCTACAGAGAAGTAAGTTCAAAATATAAATGTCGCATACAGCGATTTACTGCTTGGAAGATTTGCCATTGTTTTGAATTTTCCAACATTTTTGTTAGGTATAGGTTCTATTTATCGATCGTCTGTTTCAACAGCTAGTATGTCCATCACGCGTCGTGTACCAAATAGTTCTGGAACAGCACAAGTTAGGTGAGGGGTGGAGTTTACGGATTTAGTGCTACTATTGTTATTCGCATCTTTCAAGCTCTTGCGACGGGCACTTTTGAAACGGTCCAAATCTGTGCTGCTCTGAATGCGTCAGTGTGAAATTGGTCGTGCCGGCACCTTCTGAGACATTTTGTAGTTGTCTGTTATGAGGGTGTTGCGTTCAGAGATATGCAAAAATTGAATAGCTGGAGTTGAGGAGTGTTAAGAGATCGTAATAAAGGATTGGCAATTATTTGTTCTTTTTTGTTGTAAGTGGCACCGGAATGTTAAGAGTCGTCATTCACGGCCAATTTGAATTAATTAATGAAACAGTTTGCTGATTAAGGAATGATATGCTTCCTGTCACCGGCTTCCAAATTTATGGTGTTTATGGATATGTCATTTTTAGTTGTGAGCTCGGGTTATTTATAATGTGTTTTATTTGGGGACTTGATCAATGATCATTTTGATAGTTATATCCGAGGGCCGTATCTCTGTAAGTGTTCTGAATTAAATCGTCCAACTATACATAAATTATATAGAAGTCATTACTTAATCTCCTTTCTGGACACAGTAGTAATTTGCCAGGTTGATGTGATTGGAGTGTTTATCGAATGTTCTCTTCAATTCTGTCATGCTCGATTCAGCCTTCGATTTTTATGGTTTCTAAGATAATTTGTATCCGGTTTGCAATGTGCACTGCGGCATTTTGACATTCACTTAGCGTCCGTTTACTACTGATGTTATTTCAAATAATGAAGCTGGCATGCGCTATTGGCGAAATTACGTTTTAGAGTAAATATTCGTCGCTCTCCGTCTACATCCGGCTATCACTCCTTCTTCTCACTATTTTCTGGCATGGTTTCATCCGGTATTCATCTCAGCTTGACTTTTGGGTTGGGTCTTTCAGTACATTCTAAAGCTGAAGACCCTTTATACCAATCGTTTCAGGATCACAAATTCCAGATGACCAGAATCACCTTTGAACGTGCGCGTCATTGATTTGGACTACTATTTGATACAAGGTTTCAAGTTGTTAACACATTTTACCTATTTATTTTCAGAAGGAGAGTTTTTAGAATGACGGCTTCAGGTGGAGATGCGTCATCAGCTAGTGGTGATACTGTTGATCGACCTATGCTGAAAGAAGTTGACCAGTGGATCGAGCAGCTTTACGAGTGTAAACAGCTTACTGAAGCTCAAGTCAAAACATTATGTGATAAGGTAAGCCCAAATGATCAGGACTAGGTGGAGCACACTCGATGAAAAATATTGAATAACTTCGGAATCATAATGCAAAATTTTTTAATTTTTCATACTACATCTTTTCAAAAAATCATTTTGTAACAACACTCAGTGATCAGATACTTAGCTTAAGTGTATCCGGTGATGGCTGCTGCAGTGAAACAAAACTTTTGTATGTTTGGTAACCTTTTAATATGCAGCATGAAATTAGCATTCGCAAACCCAGAGCAGGAGAATATTGCTAATCAACTATTGCAGGCGAAGGAGATTCTGCAGAAGGAATCTAACGTTCAGGAAGTGAAGTGCCCTGTGACTGTTTGTGGTGATGTACATGGGCAATTTCATGACTTGATGGAGCTTTTTAAGATGGGTGGAAAGTCGCCGGACACTAATTATTTATTCATGGGAGATTATGTTGATAGAGGCTATTATTCCGTCGAAACAGTTTCGCTGCTAGTTTGTCTAAAGGTTAATTTTTAGAATACTTGTCAATATTTACTAATTTTTTCGTACTGGTTTTTGCTGAGATGAAGGACTTGATTTCTCTTGTTCCTGGAAGACTAGAAATGTAATGGTTTGGTTTAAAAACTGCAAAGAAAGTTAATATTTTTGAGAATTTTGTGAATCCATGTTTGGTTTGTTTTCCATTTCCTCTACAGGTTTCTCTCTTTTTGTGTTCGATGAAGTACATTTCTTGGAGCAGTGCTTTCATTTCTGACCACATCAATTTTCAATTTTCTTTCTTTTTATCACTAAATTCATCGTAAAACACTTTCCTCATCTATGATTTCCTTATTAAAGGCCTTTTTCAGGTTAGGTACAAGGAACGCGTCACCATTTTGCGTGGGAATCATGAATCTCGACAAATCACGCAGGTTCTCTCGTACCCTTTATTATTTACATGAAGTGTGGTAAAATTTCAGGGCACTACAACACTAATTTTTACAGTGAAATTTTCGTTGAATTGGTGATGTGATTGTCGATTTCACTGACTGACCAAACTTGCATAGTACAGCTTTGTAGCCTAGGGCGATTAACTTTAGAAATTTTCAGTTTTCAGAAGTTGAGTGCTTAGAGACTATTTTTATAAAGTCTGTGATTTGAGATGTTGGAAGTCTACGTTCAAATTTTTCCAGGTGTACGGGTTTTACGACGAATGTCTTCGTAAATATGGCAATTCAAATGTTTGGAAATATTTTACTGATTTGTTTGACTATTTTCCGTTAACGGCTTTGGTGGACGGTCAAATTTTCTGTTTACACGGTGGTCTTTCACCATCAATTGACAGCCTCGACCATATTCGCGCTTTGGATAGACTACAAGAAGTGCCTCATGAAGGTAATAATTTGCATTCACATTAATATTTTCCTTCTGCTACGTTTGACAATTTTTGTTCCAGAATATTTTTTGTTTATTGTACTTCATCTAATATTTGTGTTAGGTCCTATGTGCGATCTATTGTGGTCCGATCCGGATGATCGTGGTGGCTGGGGTATTTCTCCACGTGGAGCAGGATATACGTTTGGTCAGGACATATCGGAAACTTTCAATCATTCTAATGGTCTCACACTTATCTCAAGGGCTCACCAGTTGGTCATGGAGGTATGTTTTCAATTCAGTCAGTTGTCACAAGGTGTGGTTGATGGTGATTTATTAACACTTGACACGAAATATATTCATTATGGGATCGATGGACGAAAGTGCAATTGAAAATTGTGGAAATTTCCTGCTAAACCTTTTTCAACATATATAGGTTGCTCTATGACGATTGTGAAAACTTTGAAGATTTTATCTAGTATGCACTGAGAACCGTTACACTTCCATTGAAGGTACTTATGTTAATAGTTCCTACAGTTATGTTGTTAGTGAACAGTTGCCTTTAGAACTCCGTTAGGATGGTACACTACAGCTTTTGGTTTTGAAAAATGAGTTTGTGAAATGTTTCTGCAACGATTCTTTGTTCATGAAGTAGCTAGTTTATGGTAGACATTGTACTATGTGAGCAAGTCAGCTTTGTTTATAATTACTATTCTAGTTATTTTAAATGTTTTACAGGGTTATAACTGGTGCCATGATCGCAATGTTGTTACCGTTTTCTCAGCTCCCAATTATTGCTATCGGTGCGGAAACCAGGCAGCGATGGTTGAATTGGACGATGAACTTAAATATTCGTTTTTGCAGTTTGATCCAGCTCCTCGTCGTGGAGAACCACATGTGACCAGACGAACCCCTGACTATTTTCTTTGAATTGACAGAAAATCAATCTTTTCGTTACATTAATCTAATGTTCGTGCCGGAGAATGCTTAAACTTTTTTAAATATAGCAGAATCTTATTTATGACAGAACTAGTCACAGGCTGTATTAACGCTTTTTTAAACATTGCAGTTACAGTTGTTAATATTTATTTGTTGCCAAAACCAACATTACAAAAGAGCGTTAATGTGTTTGGTATAGATGCATAAGGATTGATTGATCATTGATTTCTCTAACTGGATTGATGTGAAATTCGTTTTCTTGTTACCATCGTCGTTATCTACTCTTGCACTTTCTAAATTATTCTGCAATGCATACGGATTTTAAAGACTGCCATCTTTGAAGCTCTTGCTGGTACATTTTACTGTAATAGTAGAGTAAACAAATGCAGATATTAGTAGAAAGTTTAGAATTTTTTACTTTATTGTACGAGAACATATAGTTAAGAAAGTCTTATACTTACTAAGTTAAATGTACAAATATCTATATTTCTGAAGTAAACGACCACATTTCGGCTAATAAGTTTATTGTTTGGCCTTGGTCTATCACTTGTGTCCTTCCACCATTTAGATATGAAGTAACCGTTGCTTTATTGTTGTCTAAAATTTCTCATGTTATAGAGCGTAATTATGTTATTGATTCTTGTCACACGTTTATTCACCAAAAGTGGTTTTTTTTCTTTT